CCCCGCCCCCTATTCTCATTTTTTGTCCATGCGAACGAGATGGCCGCCACCTAGTGGTCACCCATAGGAATTGCGGCCACCCAGACCAACACTTAGGCCACAGAGGTGCAAATTGCAACCATTATTCAATTAAGCTTAACAAGCTCCGGGGTTGTCTCTGGTTCGTGTGGCAGTTCGGTAAACGACCCATATAGTCCCAACTGCACGAACAGAGCCTGTTATAAGTCCAAGAGGCACAACTGGTGTTTTCAAATAGGGTTTAACACGGGCCATAGTCACAGGGTAGGATGCTGGCAAACAGGCCCCTCCAAAAACCAGTGGCGAGGTTACTCTCATCACACTTACGAACACTTTACAAAGGTCAATCTTCCCTTCAATTGTGGACACATTTCTTTTAACAATTTACTTTGCACAAAGCAAACTTCATGAATAGACAATTCACTTATGCTTGGCATGTATAGTCTTGCCCAAAGTTAGATCACATAGCATATTTGCCGTAAATAAGCAAGATATATATTATATATATATATCTCTTACTCATTTACGGCATCCTTGATTTCATTTTCATATAAATATACATACACATCCACACACAGAACGTTTGCATCCAAGTTTCCCCATAGGAAAATAATGTTTTAAATGCTATCCTATGAGCTTCTGCAATGTCAACATTGAAGTTTCTAAAAAAGAAAAAAACTGCAATGTTAAAAGGACAGGGACACTACACCCAGACTACTTCAATGAGATTTTGTCTGGGTGACTTTAGTGTTCCTTGTAGGTTTATTTGGTTTTCTTAAACAGCTAATATTATTTTCATTGATAAATTGCTCATGCCCATGTACATAATTTCTGTGTTAAATGTAAGAGTGTGCACGCGTCATGGTAAGTGCAGTAGAGGTAAATAAATTTCCACCGCATTATTTGCCCCAGTAATTGCTACACTAGTGTTTACTAGGGAGAAGGAAAAAGGAACTGTCACTTCTCTGGAAGTGACCGTTAAATGACAACCGGCACCTATTTTTTTGTATAATAATCTTTTTTCTTTTCTTCTTTTTTTAATCAAATTTCAAAAGTATTAAAGGGACACTATAGTCATCTGAACAACTTTAGCTTAATGAAGCAGTTTTGGTGTATAAAACATGCCCCTGCTGCCTCACTGCTCAATCCTCTGCCATTTAGGAGTTAAATCTCTTTGTTTATGAACCCTAGTCACACCTCCCTGCATGTGACTTGCACAGCCTTCCATAAACACTTCCTGTAGAGAGCCCTATTTAGGCTTTCTTTATTGTAAGTTCTGTTTAATTAAGATTTTCCTATCTCCTGCTATGTTTTTTTTTTTTTTGACAATCTTTATTTTGAGATTTTACAAACATTTTGTCCAGTCGAGGACCATAGTAGAGCGTTTTTGCGCGCAACCTCCCAGCTTTCGTGGCTGAACCGCGTTTGTATGGTGTAGACAGCTTCAGGGTTCAACGCTACACCTCTTGGGGATGTTACCCGAGTGGGTACCCTTTATTGTGCAGCATATCTCGTGCCCGAGTTATGTATTCCCCTTATTATACTACCGTACCCCCTAGTACTCCCCTGAGCTCTTTGCGAGTGTCCTTGAGTCACGGTTCCGCTGTGCCTTCGATTTATGGCTAGCAGGAGCGCCGTATGGGCACCCTGACTTTGACCTCATCGCCTACGTGCCCCGAGTGCTGGGATTGATGTCTACTATGTTTATCGGCATGAAGGGGCTCAGAAATCCATGTCCTGTATGGTATCTGCTGGGCGCGTAACCGTTTATGTGCCCCCATTGCGTTCTGGGTGTATGTGCGCCAAAACTCTTCCTACTCAGGCCAGTACGTCCTCTGTTCCTGTCGTGGAGGGGATAGGTGAACTTGGAAAAACTTGTGTAACTGGGATAGGCACGAAGTGCCCTAATTCTCATGAATGTGCGTGTCGGTCAGTAAGTAGGTATGGGCCGATTTGTCAAGGTAATGTCTCCCTGGGAATTAACCTCCCACTTCACTCACTGCCTTCCGATGAGACGGGTTCCCAGTCTGGGGTGTCGGTCCAATAAGTCTTTGTCCAAGGTGGGTAGATGGTCCTAGTCAGGGGTGCCACGTCTCGTCCTGATGCGAGAGGGAAGAAGAAAAAAAAGGGGGGGGGGAAGGGGTGCTGGGCCAAACCGATAGCCCCCAGGCAGGGGGGCCCGCCACCATCCTCCGGGCCTGCTTCCCACAGTACATTTCTGTGTGAAGGCCCCGTCTACTCTGCCTCCGAGGTCTCCCTTCTGCGAGAACTACGGGCCATGTAGTCTATCCAGGGGGCCCATAATCTAGTGCATTGAACTGTTGTGTCATGCAGGTCTGCCGTCAGGCTCTCCATGTGATATATTTCCTCCACTTTCTCCATCCATTCTGAGATCGTGGGGGTTGCTTGCGACTTCCACTTAGCTGGTATCAGGCTCTTTGCCGCGTTCAAGAAATGTTTCGTGAGGGATCTCTTGTATCTCCCAATGGGCATCGTGGTGTGGTGGAGTAGCATTGGGAGTGGTTGCAGCGGAATATCGGAGTCCAGGATCTCGTTCAGTTTGTCGTGGATTTGTTGCCAAAAGCAGGCAATGGCTGGGCACGACCACCATATGTGTAAATCCGTACCCTCCGCGGTGCCGCACCTCCAGCAGCTAGTCGTCTGGGTGAGACCCATGCGGAACAGTTGTGCCGGCGTCCTGTACCAGCAAGTCATGAGTTTATAATTAAGCTCCTGGAGCTTGGCGCTAATCGTCCCTTGATGCGTCAGTATATGGATCTTCTCCCATTCGGCCTCGGACAGCACGTGCCCCGTGGCCTGCTCCCATTTCACCTGGTAGGGTGCCGGCCGGGTCTTCATGGCTGCGAGTATCATAGCGTAGGGCATCGAGATTCCCCTTGGTAGATGTGTCTCGGAAGTGCATAGTGTTTCAAATTGGGTTAAGTTCCTGTGTATGAGGTGTTTTCCGGTTATTGTAAGGTACGATTGTCGTATTTGATGGTATCGGAAACGTAGCATCTCGGTCGCCCGCTCCTGTGTCAGTAGGCCCTCAAGGGTTGTCAGTTGTCCGGCAGAGCACCAATCCCCTAGACGTAGTCTGTTGGCATGTCCCAGTCCTGTTACATCTCTCGGCGCCAGGCCACCCCCTATCTCAGGGTTATAGATCACGGGCGTCATTGGGTTTGGGTTAGTCGAGAGCTCAAGTTTATATCGTATTGAGGACCATATTCGCAGTGTTGCCCCTATTAGTGGGTGTTCTCGAATGGCTCCGGTCTGTACGGGGTTTAGGAGCCAGACGACCGACGGGATCCGTCCCCGGGCCTGTGCTCGTTCAAGATGGATCCAGTGTTTGTCAGTTGTCGGCACTTGCCAGTCCACAATCCGGAGACGATGAGTTGCGTGGTAGTAGAATTGTAGGGCGGGTAGACCCACTCCCCCGCGGCATTTTGGGAGAGTGAGCTGCGTATGTTTGTCTGGCTGTACCCGAGGTCCAGACGAATTGCCGAATGGTCGTGTTTAAGGTTGTAAAATAAGCCTGGGGTACGAATGTGGGTATCGTCTGGAAAAGGTACAAAAGCCGTGGGAGAAGATTCATTTTAATGGCATTGATTCTGCCAAACCATGAGACACACGAAGCTCCCTTCCTCTGCATAACTGCGCGGAGTGTACCCAGTAGGGGTAAATAGTTATCCTGGTATAATCTGCTAAGGTCACTTGGCAGCCAGATCCCTAGGTATTTAATGCGGTGCGTGCACCATTTGAAGGGGAAGTTTACTTTAAACCGTTCAAGTGTATCTGAGCGTAGATGAAGTGGCAGCGCTTCAGACTTGGTTGTGTTCAGTTTAAGATTTGATAGCGGTCTGTATTCCCTGAATGCCCGCAGCAAGTTCGGAATTGTGATTGCTGGATTTTAAATAAAAAACAGCATGTCATCTGCATACGCAGCTTCTCCTGCTATGTTAATAGCTTGCTAGACCCTGCAAGAGCCTCCTGTATGGGATTAAAGTTCAATTTGGAGATTGATATACAATTATTTAAGGTAAATTACATCTGTTTGAAAGTGAAACCATTTTTTTTTTTTCATGCAGGCTCGGTCAATCATAGCTAGAGGAGGTGTGGGTAGGGCTGCATAAACAGAAACAAAGTGATTTAACTCCTAAATGTCAGTGAATTGAGCAGTGAAATTGCAGGGGAATGATCTATACACTAAAATGGCTTTATTTAGCTAAAGTAATTTAGGTGACTATAGTGTTCCTTTAAGTCTAGGTAGAAAAAAAAGAAAAGGAAATATCTGTCCCTACCATTAGTATATGACCAGATCCTTGTCTCAGTGAACAGAAGAAGGGGAGACCACATAGACTATCAGGGTTATTCACAAAAGTCAGAATTGTCGGGAATTCAAAGTGAGTTTGAGATTGAATGCCAAAATAGGTGATTTCTCCAACTCTCTGCTTCCAGTCCAGCTATTTTGGTCTTAAATTTCAAATTTGTTTTGAATTCTTGACAATTCTAACTTTAGTGAATAACCATATATCTGTTGGTTTTCAAACACTATCTGGTCAAAGGTGTATCAGGCGTTCCAACTGCCTGCTTTCGGGGTCCTGTCCTGAAGGTCCCCCACATCAGGGTACACCAGGAACCTGCCCATGCAGCATGGTTCGAGCACATTATTAGATGCACTCACACTGTGCAGCAGGCAGGTCGACCATGCATGAAGTGCTCCAGCAGCATTCCCTGCATGTTCCTGATAACTGGGGTTAATATGACTGGATAGGTGGGCCAGCCGCTTTCATGGTTAGGCTTGCACCTTATCGGTGTTGCTAGTGAATTTGGCCCCCTCACAGCCCTACCAACCCTATCCTGATTATGGTGGGAAAGTTGTTGGCAGGTATGGTATTGCTGAAGGAGACTGTCGTATATTAAGGGAAGGAATTATTTATTTATTTTTGTCCCAAATTCCTTTCCAAAGCTTGATGGAAGGTTTATTATATAATAGTTTTGAGGTGACAGTTCTATCAAACTCAGACACATTAAAAACATGACGCTCCTAGGAAAGAGGAGAAGAGGGTTTGAGATTGACATAGGTACTGTCTCTACTAAGTAGCAAGGAAAATGGTGTCCCATATTTTAGACTACATGTCGGAAATGTAGTCTGTTTTAGTGTCAAATTATGTTTTCCATCGCCGGATCTCCCTGCCTGTCTGTACCGTTTTCTCAAAATCTTTAAACTGGAAGGCAGAATCGGGCTGATTAGCTGAGAGAGGTCAACCAAACCAGTTTTATAAAAGGGGAGTCACTGTTAACAACTTAATTTCAATGAAGTTGTTGTGGTGCCTGGAGTGTCCCTTTAAAGAATCTTTCCAGTTTTACTACTTTGACCTTAAATTAACGTTGAATTCTCAATTTAGTGGATAACCCTGTACAAGCAGAGAGAGTCCTGACTGCAAGCTTACCATGCAGTGGTCTGGTAGTCGTCTATAAATATGCAGTGATTAGACTTGTGCAAAAATCCCTTTACGGGCCGGGACAATGCCAGAAAGAGAGTGTGAAATAGAATTAAAGTAGTGTATAGTTGGTTGTGTTGAGTTTAAACCAATGTTTTTGTAGGCCTGTAAACAAAGAGGGTCCAACAAGATGAGGGTGACCAGACTAGATTAAAGATCTCCTTCACTGATCCCAAGGCAGTTTGCCGCAGAAGAGGGAGGTAGGGAGCTAGGACAAGGGAGGCAGAACGCTCCTTCTGTGAGCAGGCAGATCTAAGCGTTGCCGTGCATTACCAGGGCAACACTCCGACACAGCCCTGTAATTGTGGGAGGAGCTGCAAACTGAACTGCACGCGCCACCACAGGACCACCAGAGATTGAAAAGCCGTCGTCGTCATCCTCCCTGGCCAAAAGTAAGAAAAGGGTGGGTAATATAAAGCTTTATTTTTTTTTAAATATATAAATTTCCTCCCTTATCCCGCCCCACAGCACCCGACATACACACACAGCACACACTACACCCCCTCCACACACACAGACAGCACCCCCCTCCACACACACACTGAATTCCCTCCACACACTGCACCCCCTCCACACATACACAGACCCTCGGGGGCCTATTATGCTGTACCAATGGCCCTAGTCTAGGGTATGAGTGTGCTCTGGTCATTTTCCTACAAAATGTAAATTAAAAGACCCTCATTTGAGTACCAGGAAGGGGATGAGCTGTTACAGCCACTTGTGGCTAGAAATAGGTTAAAGTCTTCTAGTGTGTATGTATTTCTCTGGTATGCTTTTTTTTTTTTTTTTGTGTATTGCTAAGGGGTGTCCCGGTTCTTTGTTTTCAAAATCTGGTCACGCTGACCAAGATAAATTTTGTTTCAAAGGGTGTGGTGGGTGGGATGACCCACTCCACTGACATCCAATAATAAGTGGTGTTTGGGGTGAATTAAATATGTTTGGTAACTGCTCCCACAACTCCAGGCTCCACTTCCTATTTATTAATTATAATAATATATATTTGGGTTATATACCTGCAAAATCCATAAAAGACATACCGATTCCATAAAACCACACCAGTATTTACAGACACTATGGAAACTGACATATTTCTCAAGAGATTTAATAATCAGGCATTGGTAGAAAATGTAGTAGTATTTTTAAAGATGCGTAGATTACCCCATTAACATTGTACTAGATGGGAAATCATGGGATCCAAAGAACTAGTATACACTCTCTATTACATCATCTGATGCTCTATAAATCTTAAGGCCTTGTGGTGTAGTATTTGTAAAAACGTGTAAAGCAAGTTAGCTATGTAAGGGAAATGTCATATGAAAATGATAGGACTACTGCGATCCATGTCAAATATCGTTTACAGCAGGGGTGCCCAAAAGGTAGATCCCCAGATGTTTTAAAACTCCAATGGCATGCACAGCATTATGGGAGTTGTAGTTCTACAACATCTGGGGATCTACCATTTGGGCATCCATGGTTTACAATTTGGAAGCAATATAAACAGCCTTAAATGGATCATATCCTAAAGGAAAATATAAAAATACAAGCAAATGAGTAAGTCTTTGTTGCTGGTAATATGCATTATGACCAGAATAGGATCATACACTATGAATGTGATTTGTAACCCATTGGCTATGGGAAATTTGACTATGTACTATTATCTTTAATTAAAATGGATCTGTCAATTTTGAGGGTCTTTACATATTTTTCAAAGACTCCCGTGGCCAAGGGGTGCAGTGAAAGATAAGTACCTGAAGCTGTCTCTTGCACTGCTGCCATCTTTTCCCTGGGGACACTCTTTAGCTCCTGGCGCTTAATTGTTGAGTCAGTGCTCCTCACCAGCGTTCAACACTGAGGTCTATGGAGGATCCTGCAAGACCCCAGGAGCTTCCATAGATCACATCTTGCGATAAGCCCAGGCTTGCTGAGCATCTTTATGGGCCCTGGAAAATTAGCACGAAAGAAAAAAACCTACAAAAAGTTTTTAAAGTAAAACATGTCTGTAGCTTGCCGGTTATAGGCCCCACCCATGGCCCACGGATGCGGTAGAAGGAAGTAAGGCATGCATAATTATTATTATTTGAGCAGACTACATTTAGTATAATTACTTAACTCAATCTGGATATAAATGCATTTATGTCAGATTAATCTCAGATTATTTTTGGTAATCTAGACCAAGGACATTTAAACTTTAATGTATAACCCTGATGCACATACTACACTCTCCCATGTCTTCCCTTACTCTTTGAACATAAATACTCATACTTGTGCAGCCTCTCCATTAATTGTGCGTGATCACACATGCGCATTTTACAATATACAAACACATCTACATATACTGTGAAGATGTTGTAACACTGTCTAAATCCTATGTATTGAAACCTCCATTACACAGATAATAGAGAACACTATGAAACAGAAAAAATGCTAACGTTGAATCCAGTGTTTCCTTATGACCTACAATTCATGACATTCAATGTCCTCATGGTTGTCAAGCATCACATGACTGAGTTGCTGCAGTAAATGTGTCTCTAGTGACTGTCAGAAAGACAGACACTAGAGGAATGTTTAACACTTTAAACAAAACATTGCCGTATCTACTCAACGGCAATGTTTTAGAGTGAATGGCTATAACAATAGGGCCACTGCACTCAGACCACTTAATTGAGATGAGGTGGTCCTTTAATCATAACCTAGTGTAACGGATCCCCTATACTCCGGCTGAGTATATCTTTTGGAATTCTCACAAATCCTAAGTGAAACAGTGATCAGAGCCCTTGGTTAACCAAACATCAGCCAAGACTTGATGAAGGGTACAACAGGAATGACAGCCGTTTATTTTGTCACACAAGGTTTTAGAGGCACAGACCCCTACATGGGGTCTCCAACACAAAACAACAGGGGTTTCAACCCCAAGAAGCTGATGGGGGGTGGAGGAGGTACAAAGCAGCTGGTTTAAACTGGGCTGGCAGTGTCCCTCGGACCCGCCCAGCTAGGACAGGAAAAGAAAGGGGGAGAGGCACAGACAAGCAATACATTTCAGTCTAAAGAGCTGCTGCCCCATTTCCCCCCCACCCCCCCCTTTGTTGACCCACAGCTGCATATACAGACACACACACTGCTCTATGTAGAATACAGGCACCCAATACAGCGACATCTAGACACATGTAAAACAGTCACAAAAATGTCGCCGTCCATTACATATCTCCCCTCATAGAAATAGACAGACCTGTGGCCAGACCCACGACGGGCCTGCAACAAGTCGTGTTGGACCCCCTCCTTCCGAGTCCACAGTCCAAGTCCTTAGGGTCCATTGTGACTAGACAAGTGAGTGTGTACATATAGGTATGGCACTCAGTGACGGCGGTTCCTCACACATAGCAAGTGTCACAAATTCACAATTGCATTTTAGTGCACTGTGCTCAGCTCACAAAATGTCATCATATACAACTTGTATGCTATGATTCAGACAGCACAAACAAGCACATAGATAACAATCTCTCAGCACCTGATATATTATTTATCAAAAATACTGGCTGCCTTAGTGGCATTTCACTGTTTATATACTCATGCCACATTCTATTTTCCTTCTTAAAAAGTTCTTTTTTTTGTAAATTAACATTTTATTCTGTGAAATCTATCAGTTAAGTTTAGCTGTATTTGAGGAAACAAAAAGTACAATGTAAAATAAAGTGCAGTGCTAAGATTACTGGCACTGTGAAATTGTTTTATAAGCTTTGAAACTTAATTTCCACAAGTTGCCTGTCACTTCACAATTAAAAAGAACATCAGTATTCCTGACACTATAGTGCCCTCTGGTGCTATTCGAAGTTAAGGCTGACATGCTGAGGAGCCACAAAACGCAAAAGTGACATCTGACGACACCGCGCTCCTCGGCAGTACCCACACTCACGCAAGAACTTAATCTCTATTTGGAGGAGGAAAAGCCCGGCATTTGGCCTGGAGACCAGCAGATAATTGCTTTCTGCAGACCAGTTAATGTGTACAGGATTGGGCGGGCAGGTGGCAATTTGCTAAACCTCCAATCGAAGGACAGAAAGCTCTACATTAATTCCATAGACAAGCAGATTAACACTTGCTGCGGACAGGACTACCATCAAAAATTTTGCGGCCCAATACACAGCTGAAGGAGAAATACGTTGATGCAGTGTGTGTGTATATATTGGATGTAGTTGATTTAGTGTCTGTGTAGTTGATGCAGTGTGTATAGTGGATGCAGAATGTGTGTAGTGAATGCAGTGTGTATTTGAATAAATGCTGGGGGGGGCGGGAGGTGAGCAGTTTTTTTTAAATTGGTTGAGCATATTCCCCCCTCCCTGACTCAAACCTGACACTAGATTTCCTGGTGGTCCCATGGCACAGAACCCTTATATAATGAAGAGGGGGCCCAGGTGTCTTCCACATCCAGCAACAGGCCCTCTGCTCTCATGTTCTGCAAGGGAGTTGCCATGGGTTGTCATGGCAACGCTCTGCCATGCATTGTGTGCCACACAGAGCATTGCCATGGCAACTCGAGGCAATGCTCTTGTCCTGCTGAGACTCCTGGGCCCCTTCTTCATTGTACATGCCAGCAGGGGCCCATAACAGCATGCATATATATATATATATATATATATTTATTTATTTTATCACATGCAAAATTGAATACACTTGATTGATTTACTGAAAGTCCAGCGAGTGCTCTCGTTTTTTTCCTTTATTCAATTTCGCATGTGATAAAATCAACGTTTTGACCTGTATAAGGTCTTTATCAAGATGCCCAAGATTAATTTTGAGCAGAGTGCCAGATCACTTGTGTTTTGTGTGTATATATAAATATATATATATATATATATATATATACATATACATATACACACACACATACAGTGGCGGAAGTACCACGGTCGCGGGGTCGCAGAGGCGACCGGGCCCGTCACTCAGGGGACCCATTCAGTGCTGTGGCTCTTTAACACCACAAGTGGGCCCTCTGTGATGATGTCAGACTGAGCTGGGAGGAAGTGACTGCCCTGGTCACTCTTCCCCTAGAGTGCCGCACAGGAGGAAGAGAGGAGGGAGTCAGGGTCCCCATCAGCCTGAGACACTGGACCACAGGGAAGTCACCCTCCTGCACCTAAAAGTTAGGAAACAGGAGGGTTACTAAACCATTGTGCATGTGTGATTGTGTGTGTGTGTTTTACTGTATGTATGTATGTGTGCATCTCTGTATGTGTGTGTGTCTCTGTATGTATGTGTGTTTGTGTCTCTGTATTTGTGTGTCTGTGTGTGTCTCTGTATTTATGTGTATATGTCTATGTATGTGTGTATCTGTTTGTCTGCATGTGTATCGGTATTTGTGTGAGTGTTTGTGTCTATAGGAGTGTCATTCTGTGTATCTCAAAGTGTGTAATTCTGTGTGTCTGTGTATTTGCATGTATGTCTGTGTGTATATATATATATATATATGTGTGTGTGTGTGTGTGTTAGTTTTGTGTCTGTATATGTATCTTTGTTATATGGTGTGTATCTACATGTATGTCAGTGTGTGTTTGTATGAACGAGACACATTCAGGGGTGTGAGTGTGACACATGGAGGGGCTGAGGGAGGGGGGAGTAAGACGTATACGGGGGGCCCCAGGGCAATTTTTGCACCGGGGCCCTGTGGTTTCTAGTTACGCCTCTGTGTGTATATATATATATATACACATCCTGCCGAAAGTTCTGCATAAGAACTGAAACGTTGACACTTTGTGGCAGTTGCTAAATAAAAGCTAAGTTATATTTTTTTCACCATACTTATGAAGTCCCTGGTGTGCTATTTTCTACTACTTTGTTCTATTAATATTGCCAACAAGCACCGGGCTTAATTTTATTATAACTGGAGTGCAAGCATTCGGATATTTTTGTGTATATATATATATATATACATACAGTGGCGGAACTACCACGGTCACAGGGGATGCAGCCACGACCGGGCCCGACACTCCGGGGGCTTGACTGCCCTGCTAACCCCTGCAACCATGGGCCATTGAGAGGGCACCCCTGAATCGACGCTTGTACAGTTAGGCAGAATAGGCACCTGCTTACCTGGATGGCAGGTGCCTACTCTGCCAATTATATACCGGAGGGGAGGACAGGAGGCAGGCAGCATTCGACTGCGGTGAGGCAGCACTGATCAGACAATACCTCTCTCTTGTGTGCCCTCTGTGATGCCGGATGCTGGAATATGACATAATTCCGCCCCTGGCATACCAAACAGTGCGCGGGAGAAGAAAGGAACTGTCACACACAGAGTGTGTTTCTGTCACTGTATGTGTGTGTCTGTCTGTTTGTGTGTGTCAGTGAGTATGTGTGTTTGAATGTCAGTGTTTGTGTCTGTCACGTGTGGGAGAGACATATGGAGGGGGTGGGTGATACACATGGAGGGGCTGGTGGGAGGTTGTATGAGACACACCGGGGCCAGTGGTTTTTAGTTACGCCTCTCTCTCTCTCTATATATATATATAGCTACATATCAGTACTTAGATTAGATATCTATATGCAAATAGGGGGCATAGGACCGGTCCTGCCAGGAGGCCTGAGCTCCTTACAGCCGACTAGTTAACATGTACAGGGGCAGCAAAATGCTGCCACCTGGGGCCATGGCCCCAACAGGATCCATGCATGGGCCTGCCCTGCTCCCAACTGCCCTGATTTTGGCAGGACAGTCTCGGTTTTGGGCCCTTCCTGCTGTCCCGATTAATTCTCTGTTGTCCTGCTTTTGTGGAGGTCCCAACTGTTCCCAACAAGCACAGCACAACTGCATCATTAGAGGAGCTAGAGTTATGCTTAGGGCACAGTCCGCATGCAGCGAGCATTAAAACTGTGCTCTCTGCATATCCTGCCCTAAGTGGGCTTGCCTTACATGATTGGCAGTCAGCCTGGCGTGCATTCACTTCATCCACTTGCTCTAGGTGTGGGCTCCTGCCCCAAACTCCCAGTATAAAATTTGAAATATAGTTTCTCACATGCCGCACTTTGACTGACAATTGTACTATGGTGCAAACACATTGAGGGGTCCACCTGTTGTGGCTTGGTTCTAAAAATACTTCACTGAACCCTGAGTGAGGAGCAATTTTATTTTGATCCTATGCAGAGGCATTGCAAGGTCATGATGTGCCCAGGGCGATGGGTGTTGTAGTTCTTTAGCAGACTGCATGCAGAAAGTGTGTGTAGCTTGGCAGGTGAGGAAGACGAGAAGTGATTTCCATCCATGCTATTACAGGTGGTGTGTGGTGTAGTAGTTCTGCTTTACAAATCTTTTTTCCTGTCCCCAGCAGTGGGTTTTCCAGGGCACTGCGTTGTCAGGAAACAGTGAGTTACACGCTGATAAATGATGGAAGAAATTACTAATCCTGTCATGCATTGCTACTCAGTGCTGCTAATGTAACATGCTGCAAAATTTTATTGTGTATATAACAATAGCTGCTATTATTGCACATCATGCAGTGCATGTGCTATGGTCCTTGCTGGCCCTCTGGCCCCCTATCAGACCAGTGCCTAGGGACTACTGCCCCCCCTCCCCCCCCCGGTCCTTCCTTGCAATACTGGTTCTATACAAATACAAAAAGATAAGTCATGTGCTCACTCCCATCACTCCTGGGAGGCAGCAACGACCACAGTACACATCAGGCCCAATATATAGTAAAAAAACAAAGAAAAAAAAGTTACCAGCGCGCGCTCCTTAATCCCTATGTATATTTAGACAAATGGAGGTCATTTAGTTACTCCAATGACCATTGGAGGGAATGCTCGCCTGCCAACGTCAAGGCAGACCCCCCCTAAGCGGGTCCTACACTGACCCTTCACCTTGCTTCCTTGAGCTTCTGGCAAAGATATCTCTAATGAGACAGAGAGGGGTATTTTTTATATACACCCTATATACTTATTAACCTTTAATAGGGAACACATGGGATGGGCGTCAGCATTGTAACAAAGCTGTGTGATATAAATCCCGCTTGGGGGGGGTTTGGCATTCCCTCCAATGGCCATGGTAACTAAATGAACTCCATTTGTCTAAATATACATAGGGATTAAGGAGAGAGCGCAGGTAACATTTTTTCATTTGGTTTTTACCACTGGTTCTATGTCTCCCTACTAGTGTCATTTCCTCCCCATATTTGTCTTTCTGCCCCATCTTCCCACTTGTCTCTTACCCCTCCATTCTTTCACTCAGTCGCCAACCATTCCCCTTAACAGTGCCTCTCATTTATCCTATGTCCACATCCCCCCTTATATCTCTACTTTATTTATACCCAAACTTTTCTCCTAGGCCTCCTCCATGTCTCTGATTGTTCCTCAATATTCTTCTCTTACTTTCCATTGATTGGTAGCAAGCAGTGGCGTCTCTAGGATTCATTTTTAGGGGGGTCACATGGTGGGCCTGGGACATGCCCTTGCCGCATGCTGAGCCCCGCCCCCGACACAATGTGTTTTTTTGTTTTTGTTTTAATAATCCCTGGTG